ATTGAAATTAAATATCTATAATTTTAATGGGGAAACTTCTAGAAGAGTATTTAGGAAAAGGTTGTTTTCTCTAAAGAAGGCCACAAGAATTTGCAAGTCATTTTAACAGCAGAGAAAACTACAAACTATTCTTGCTTTTAATCTATAAGAAATGGAGTACTTTTAAAATGTTAAATCACAGAATGTGGGAAAAATTTTTTCTTTTAATCTATAAGAAATGGAGTACTTTTAAAATGTTAAATCACAGAATGTGGGAAAAAATGTTTTATATATGACGAGGAGGAGGAAGGGGGAGGGGGAGGAAGATAAAGAGGTTGTGAGTATATTATTTATAGCAGGATTTAAAAAGAAATAAATGAGAAATATAGAAAATATTATTGAAGAGCCACCGAGATGATCATCAAGTTTAATTTAATTTATTTCCAGATACAACAGATGTACAACCTCCCTTTGCAGTTAGCTATGGTTGTATGATTTGATGTAGTTTGGGACGGAGGTGATACATTGCTGTTTAATATCGTTCTCACACTTAAAATGTTCTATGAAATTTCTTCAGTCATCCTGTTTCTGGTAAAAATAAGAAAGTCATATGTAGAGATTTCTTGAGTGGCCACAAAAAGGATCTAGACTCTACTACCTAAGTATAATAGATTTATTTCCTAATCAGGAGCATGAGTTTATATTTTATTTGTAAGCTTCATTGTGTCAATCTACAAACAGATTTGAATTATCTGAAAATGCAGTTAATGTTATAGTAAAAAATGTACAGATGCATTGATACAATTATTTTGACCAATGCCAGTTCTTATGTTTTTCATTTTTGATGATATTAATAAGTATATTATTTTTTATTTTATCTTCAATACAATTTACACATTTTAAGTAAGAAATGTATGTATCGGTGGGTGGTAGTGAAAAATGTGAATTTCATGAAGGTCAGTACTGTGTCAGGCTGAAGAGTTTTGAGTGCCCTTTTAAGAATAAGTCAATGTTTTTGGTTCTGTACTATATCCAAAACAGAACAAGAGGATGTAGCAGGGATTTTGAAACAGAATTTCAAGGGATTTTGGAAATGAACATATCTGGAATAAAATAATTTTAGCCATGAAGTGTTGACCATGATTGAACAAACAGGGTGAGATGAGGTTGGTGTCAGCAAAGTGACTCTGGTTTACAGCTTGTGTATCTACTTGTTAGGTGGCTGTGTTTCTGAAGATGGAAAACCAAGTGTGAAGGTACAATAAGGAAAGATATTAATCTTGGATTTGAACACGTTATCTCTAGAGTATCTTTGGAACTTCCAAATGAAAATCGAGTTAATTAGTCATGACACTATTAAGAGGAATGAAAATAAACTTATTTTAATTCTGCTTGGTCTTTTTTTTATAAACATCTGTCCTAGTGAACTCTGAGGACACAATGTATTTTGATGGTTATAACTAGTTATGTGCATGATTTAATGATTAGCTCTCAATGCCCAGTAGAACAACTTTGACTTTATGCATCTGGGAATGCATTGGAAACATAAGAGAATTTCAAAATGATTTAAAGAACTGGTTTGCAATAGAAGAAGTAAATGCCAAATCCCTTAAGTTTGGTTTTCTGGGAGAAAACAAGTTCATAGATAATACAGTTGTGTTTGTATATATTTTTTATTACTTTTGAGAAAATGAGCACATTTCCAGTTTTAAAGTGTTGCTAAGATTTGGGTAAGGGTGTAGAAGTTTTCAAATTATTGTTTATTGTACCTTTGTAATTTGTAACAGAAAACATATTTTCATAAGAAACTATTGGCTGACCATAGTGAATGAACTTTCACTGAGGAACATCTGGGTACACAAACGTGGCTCAATAGAATAATATTTATGACAGAATATATGATATCCAGTGGGACAGGGCTTTGGGAAGTGTGGGTGGAGGAGAGGGATAACAAGATGACTGAGATATATTATATGAGATTCACAAAAATTAAATAAAGTGAAGCTAAAATCTCCCTTGAAATTTTTAAAAATCAGAGAGCAAAATGTGGGCAGACAGATATAAATGACAATCTGAAATGCATATTTCAATTAATGTAGAACAGTGTCAGTAACCCTATTTGTTGGAAAATTTTCCAAAGTGTCAGAGTAGCATTAAAAGTGGATAATTTAATTATGATAAGAAAAAGTCAATACATTCATGGAATATTTTATACTATAAAGTTTTCCTTAGTTGAAATATAACTGTGCTTCAAATTTTTCTTATGTATAATTTTTCAGAATGAGAAATTCCAGTTTAAGGTGTGTGGTTGAATGAAGTAAATTTTTTAATTTCATGGAAAAAAATGAGAATATGGATTAAGACTACAGAAAGTATCTGCAATAGACTTCTTTTGTCTTTCTGTGCATGCAACTGTTGAGATAAAACTTTAAAAACTTACTAATTCTTAGCTACATTATATATTGTAGGATCTGAAATAAGGAATATCAATACTTTAATCATACAAAGTTATGAAGAAAATTGGACTAATTAATTTAAGTAAAATATTTTATGGATTGGAGTTTTTTTCTAATAGTTTTTGTTTTGTTGTACATAGTAGGCTCCATGAGAATTTATTTAAAAATGAAAATGCTTAACCATATTTGTTTTTTATTTTTTCTGTGTTGATAGAACAACTCACAGTCATTCCTTTTGCTCATGTTCAATTCCTAGAAAACCCATTTCTATTTATTATTCAAAATTAAATTTAAGCAAAATATCAAACCACTGTGAGGAATCACAGTGGTTTGATATATGAAAATGAAAGTCTTTATACCATTATTTGTTTATTTTATTTAAAAGTTTTTTACCAGAAAAAAATTTTAGAATTATTTCAGAGACTAAAAAACATACAACGTTTCTTCTTATTTACACAAATACCAACTAAAGTTTATATTTTAAGCAGTTGAGGTTATTACAAATAAATTACACATGGATAATTTTAACCAAAATATTTTTGAAATTAAAAGTAAAATTATCAAATGAACTCATTACTTGGATTCCTACAGTTGCAGTTATAAGTAACTTTAAAGTATTAAAAACTGATACCTACCCTCAATTACAAAAAAATCCCCTGCATATCATAGCTAAAATAATATGGCATTTTTCCTGAAAGTTACTTAGTTATCTAACTTAATTTTAGTTGCAAAAAATAAAGCTGATCATTGTAATTTTAGCGTCATCATCTTAAAAAGGCAGCACAGGAGTTACTGTTTTCATCAATTTTATCTGCTGTTAGCTCTATTAGCATTTGTTTACATATTTCTTTACATTTGCACTCCCATGCAAACATACATAGGTAGATCCACTGCATCATTTAATGTACAGATATCATTTATCTGAATCTGTTCTGTGGAACACCTATTCTGACCTATCCTTCTTCTAAACTCTTTCTATCATTCATGCCTCTACTCTTGTACTAGGAAAATACTGTTATAAACAGTGCATTTTATCCACATTTTTCCAAGTGAAGGGGAAAATTTAAATGTCACCATTGTTTGATAACAATGGGATCATAATTATTTTTTTTGCTTTTGTATGCCTTGCTTTCCTGTGATACTACATATTGTGGTAATTCTCAATGCAATTAACATAGCTCACTTTTACATGACTGAATTTTATTCCACATGAATGCATTATGACATTTCCAGCTGTTTTGCTGCTGAGACTATGCTTTGTAGACTTAACCCTAAATGAATTACTTATTCCTTGTATATCTATTTTTGTGTCGTAGTGCTTCTCTTTATAGCGTATTTATAAAAGTGACATCTTGAATTGTGTGCATATTTTATACAAATAAATTGAATTTTGTAAAGTTGTTTCTTAACATCTGTTGCAATCAATATTTCTACAAGTAATGTATAAAATCATTGGTTTTCCTCATTTTAACCATCAGTGAACATTATTACACATTATAATTTATGCCATATAATATATGAAGTGTGTGTGTCTGAATGTGTCTCTGTGTGTGTTTGTGTATGTGTGTGTGTGTGTTCTGTGACATGGAAAGGTAAGTGTTATTCATTCATTTTAAAGCTTTCTCATACACATCTACTTTTACTCATTCTGATTTTGTATGTCTTTTACTGACCTAGTTTTGCCATTCGTTTCTTTTATTGGAACAACCTCTATATTTCACATACGAAATGACATTCATGATCTAACTTATTATATTCCCTTTGTCTTTGGGCTTCCGTATTTTTTATGCATTCATATTGCATAGTATTTGTTTTTCACTGGATTTCTTCATTTAAAATTATTTATTTCATCTTTGTTCATAGTTTCTTCTGAATTTCAAAAAAATATAGTGTAAGGTAGGAATTTCATTTTATTTATTTCCAGATATACAACAGTGACAGAACAGCACATCAGCTACTCTTTCTTATTATGTTAAAAAGTATACTTGCTCATGTCACATTCCTTTTCTGTTGGAATCTGAGATCTATTCTAATGTCTTACGTTGCTTCTATTATGATTTACTATTTTGATTATTTAATCTTTAAACTATAATTCTGTATCAGTTACGGTACTGTTAACAAATCTTACTTTTTACATTCTTGCAGAGGACCTAGGTTCAATCCCCAGCACCCATGTAACACTAACAACCATCCATAAATCTAGTTCCAGGGGATCTGATGTCCTCTTCTGACCTCCTCAGGCATTGCATGACATGTGCACTTACAAGCATGCAGACAAAACACTCATACACATAAAAAATTTATAAAACAAAATACAAACACTGCAGATGTTAGATTATAAAAGATTTTCTTTAAGTGTACATTTAACTTGAGGTTATAAATCATTTAAATGTTTTTATTATGGAGAATTTTGAATGTGTATTAAAGTAGACAAAGGCAAAATTTAAACTACTAGTACGAGAACTACACTTTTAGAATATGTTACTGGCAAGGTTATAACAATTTAAAAATGTTTTTCACTCTGCTCTACTGATTATTTCCTATTAGTGATTTTCCAGGTCAGATATGACAGAACACAATCAGACTCTGTTAACTGTGTTTGTCCTCACTGGACTCACAGAACACCCTGATCTAAAGATTGTGCTGTTCCTGGTGTTTCTTGTCATCTACCTCATCACCATGGTGGGCAACCTTGGACTGATTGCTCTCATCTGGAAGGACTCCCACCTTCAGACCCCCATGTACCTATTCCTTAGTGGTTTGGCCTTTGCTGACTCATGGACTTCATCCTCTGTGACTCCTAGGATGCTTATAAACTTTTTATCTAAGAATCATGAGATTTCCCTGGTTGAATGTTTTACCCAATTTTATTTTATGGGTTCCAGTGCAACCACAGAATGTTTCCTCCTCCTAGTGATGGCCTATGACCGCTATGTGGCCATATGCAATCCCTTGCTTTATCCAGTGGTGATGTCCAATAGACTCTGCACTAAGCTTATAGCTGTTACATACTTAATTGGTGTTTTGCACTTAGCAATTCATGTGGGTTTGTTAGTTAGATTAACTTTCTGTAGATCCAACATCATACAATATTATTATTGTGAAATTTTACAACTTTACAAAATTTCTTGTACTGATTCTACAGTTAATGTCCTTGTGCTTTTAATCTTTTCAAGTTTTATACAAGCCTTCACCTTTGTAACCATCATGGTCTCTTATACTCACATCCTCTTTTCCATTATAAGGAAGAAGTCTGAAAATGGAAGAAGCAAAGCTTTGTCCACCTGCAGTGCCCATCTGTTCTCTGTCTCTTTGTTCTATGGTACACTTTTTCTCATTTATGTTTGTCCTAGGTCTGGATCATCTGAAGACAAAGAAAAAATGCTTTCTTTATTTTACACAATAATAATTCCCCTTCTAAATCCATTTATTTATAGCTTGAGGAACAAAGAAGTTATAAGTGCCTTTAGAAGAATAATGAAGAAATAAAGACTTGTTTCACAAATTTTCAAACTAACATAAAAAATAAAACAAGCAAACAAAATCCCACCACCAGCAGAAGACCTGTGTCCTGAGTATTGAACAATATTGTTGTATTGGAAGGCCCAATCTGTGTGATGAAACCCAATTTTATATCTAATGCGCTAGTGGTTATGGATATCTGTTTAGTGAAATAATGGAAACATAATAAAGAGACACTTATGTAGAAGTAGCATTCTCTATATAAACTGAACATTTATCTTTTGAAAATGAATTATTTTCACCAGTCATCCAAACTTACAGGCATTGATTGGCAATTTTACAGGGGAATGCTATTTACTGAGAAATAACTGTAATTGATGCTAGCATATATACTTAGGAAAATACAAGAATGAGTGGTTTATCTCTCTGGATTTGCATATTAATAAGGCTTTGTGATTCTTTAATATACTAAACAATTATTATTGATAAAAATAAAACTGCTGCCAGATGGAATGCATTCCTGAGAAATGTTTTATTTAGTGATAGGATATAGGAAATTGTGAAAACAGTGCTGATAGAGCTAGAAAGAAAAATGGGTTACCATAAATTAACATGTTCAGCAACAAAACTTGTAATATCTATATTTAGAACTTTGAATATTGTCTTTTCCAGTATATCACAAGATGCATTATGTTCCATAGTACAAGTTTCAGTGCAACAGAAAGCAATTTTACAAACCCGCCTAGCAATGGCATTACTAATATTATCAGTTTTAGTGGCACTGGCAGGTAGAATACAAGGAAATGCTTAGTGTTTAGTATTCTTAGTATTCATCTAAGTATCTTAGTATTCTTCTCATCTTAGTATTCTTTTATTAATATTTTAATTAATTTTTTGTGAATTTCATACATTATATTTTGAACATACCCATCGCCACCCATCCATCTGTCATTCCAGATCCACTCCACCTCCACAAACCCCTAATTTCCTGTCTTCTCCTTCATTAGATCACTGAGTCCATTAAGTGTCAGAGATATGACACTTAATTCTAGGACTGAGAGTTTGAGCCAATGAATTCTCAGTTGTAAGTAGACAGAGCTTACATTTCTGAAGTGGATGTAAATTAATTTGTAATAAGTTACTAATGAAGTTGTATAAGAATTGTTATGTAGATTATGTAGGTGACTAATCCCTTTGTAGTAAAGCAATTATAGTCTTCCAACACATTTATTTGTGAAAAGTAATTACACAAAATAATTAAATTGTGGAAGAATTAATATGTGCTTTTTGTTCTACTTTGGATGGTATAGATTTTTATCATGTCAATAGTTCTAAAAAAGATACTCAAATATTTTCCCTAAAAACATATCTGTATGATCCCCTTTAGGAACAAAGGTATATGATATCTTTATAACTTAAATATGTTTATCATGTGAATATTATTGGAGAAATTCAATATGTGTATCTTGTCCTAAAATAAATACCCATATTTTCTCCATGAGAGGAGTTATTTTTTAAAAATCTGACATTATTAAATTCATTGTCTTTGAAAAATCATCTGTATTTACAAGTAATTTCAGGAATTTTGAGATGCATTTGACAATCATTGTAACCTATTGGCTTCTTTATCATTCTTCTTTTTAGTAAAATTTTTTATCTAAAGCACACTATTGACAAAGTAGTCACCAAAGTACTTTTTATTATTTCTGTAAATAAATTTACCTCTTCCTGTATGTTTTTCCTGTATGTTATTAAAGTACATTTTCCTGAGACTGGGGAGATGTCTCAGCAATTTAGAGGCACTGGCTGCTTTTTCAGAAGACCTGGATTTGAATCCCAGGACCCATATAGCAGCTCACAACAATCCATAACCCCAGTTCCAGGGGATCTGATGCCTTTTTCTGTCCTCTGTGGGCACTGCACAACACAGGTGCACTTACATACATGCAGCCAATACACTCATATACATAAAATAAAACTAATTCTTTTATTTTTAAATATAGTATTTTGCCTACTCTTAAAATTTTACAAATAAGTATCATCTTAGTATTCTTTTATTAATATTTTTATTAATTTTTGTGAATTTCATACATTATATTTTGAACATACACATCGCCACCCATCCACCTGTCATTCCAGATCCACTCCACCTCCACAAACCCCTAATTTCCTGTCTTCTTCTTCAATAGATCGCTGAGTCCATCTTGTGCTAATCATGTACTCACGGGTGTGATACCATCCAGTGGAGCACGGTTGATCTATCACAGGCCACACCCTTAAAGAAAACTGACTCTCCAACCAGAAGCCATAAACTATCAATTGATATTCAATTAGGGATCATATCTCTTGAACCCCTTCTCAGTCCATGGTACAGTGTTGATCTTGTGCAGGCAGCCATTGCTTCTGTGAGTCCATGAGTGCTGTGGTCCTGGTCCTGTCATGTCCTGAAGGCACTGTTTCATTCCAATCCTCCCGAGCTCTGGCTATTACAATCTTTCCTCCCCTCTTCTGCGATGGTCCTTGAACCTTGGAGTGAGGAGGTAATATATGCTTTCCATTGTGGGTGAGAGTTTCACAGACACTTATTCTTTGTATTTTGAAAAGTGATTTTCTGCATTAACCACTATCACACAGAAGCTTATCTGACTAGGTCTGAGAGAAGCACTAATCTTTGGATATGGAGATAGGAATTTAGAGAGCAATTTGATATTATGTCCATTTTACAGAATAATATAGTAAGTTCATTACTGAGGTTTGTGATTCAAGCTCTCCAACCACGGGTGTTGGCCAGATTTACAGTACCAAGATTTCCTTCCTGTGATGTAAGCTTTAAGTTCAATCTGAAAGCAGTTAGTTCTTTCCGTAATATTCATGCCACTACTCTTTCAGTGAAAATTTCAGCTATCGTATTGCTTCAAAGGGAAAAACCTACACATGCATTGTTATCTGTTCAGGATCTTAAGAGGCTGCTGAGGAACTGGCATTTAGACAAACCTGTAATATCAACTTAAAAGTTACATCAATGTAGAATGAATTATTGGACTTCGTCTAAACTGATGTCATTCTTAAATGTTCTTAAGTAAAATGTACGAGTATCAGCATGGTCCATGACAAACAAGTACTGAAGCTGAAAGAACTTAGACATAGTAGCTTTCCTGTGGTAATTTTACCTGTACTTATGTGAGAGTGCGTTCAGTATTTCAGACTTTGGAAACTTCCGTTTACCAGAGGCCTTTGTCATGCCTATACTTTACCTCTTTTGTATTATGACTTAAAGAGAAATAAATGGCTAATATATTTGACTGAATGAACATTGCTAGATAAGTCTGCTTCACTATATGGTTTTGTCATCATCAACTTGAAATCTACAACTGATGTCTTGCAATAGATTAACCCATACGGAATATGATAAGAAGGGAAGGCCTTTGAGCCTGGTATTAGGATGCCTGCTGGGATGGTTTGCTTTGTGGTTGCCACTGCTTGTTGAGGCAAATTATAGGGATTGTAAAAGGAAATTAGATTATATAGATTCAAACATATAGGATTAAGCAAAATACAATAATAAATTAAGTCAAATAAGAAAAAAAGATAATGAATCTTATCTTAGCATTATCAGAATGGGAACTATCCATAGAACACAAATAAATAGTCTCCTCTTAGCAAAGATAAGGCAAATATGTATGATAAAAGGTGAATCATTATATATTTCTTCAGAACCTGGCTGACCATTTACTAATTAACAAAATTCACTACCCTGTCCAAGTGTTGGGAAGTCAAGGCCAGATGATCACCTAAGCTGGAGCAGCTTGTTAAGTTATATTTAGACATTTTCTGGCAGATGAACATCAACAGTTTCCAGCTAGCATTGGTATTACTCAGACCACAAGAACAAGTCACCAGTGCAGCTGCCTCTTTTACCCCTTGGGGACTAGGGCACTCAGTGTACGTAGGACTAACAAGCTTCCTTAGACTCAGCCAAGAGCTGGCTTCCTAGAATGCTTGAGGCAGGACTGCACACCTTCCCAGAATGCTGGGAGTGAGGGCTAAGATACAATTCTTATTTTGTGCAAGTACACTTCTAAACATGAACTAAGAATTTATCATTCGCTTGAGGCTTGAAGTAATTCCCCATAACGTTACATACGTCTAAACCATCGCCTCACTGATGCGATAATGAAATTCCAATATTTTGCAATGCTTTAGTATTAATCATGATTTGTGAGCTCTGTATGGATTTTATGTGCTTATTTTCCTAATAAAAAGCCTTCCAAGAAGCAATAAAGCACTCTTGGGCTGGCACAAAACAAGGGTTCCCTGGATTGATTTCAATTTGGGGGAACGGACACTGTGGTAGGCATCTACAAGTGGTACATGAACATGGACAGTCAGAATCACAGGCAGGCCACTGAAGAATACTGAATAGATAGTGAGAATCTGGCAAAGCTCTCAAGTAGCCCACTTCAGGATGCCAGAGCAACAACTGGGCAAGATAAAAGTTTATGGGAGAACTGCACATACTTGTTCCACACAATGCTTAAAGCATCAGGAATTAATATGTAAGGAAATAATTTCTTAATATGTAGATTAATATATTCACTGCATTTCTCTTTAAGACATGCTGCATATGCAGACATGGAAAGATATTCTGCAAGCATTTAAACAAACACTCAGAACAAAATCATTCTTTCTAATGTTGGGTCTTTATGTAATCTTAGAACTTTGGCTGCTCAATCTTTGCAGACTGCTGCTCCTTAAAAGGCAGGTGGTCAAAGCTTTTAAAGGAAGAGACGGGTAATAACAAGGCATCTTCCCTCTATATTCAGTTTTCTGGTTCTTTCTCTCATGCAGGATTGGAATTTGGTTTTGTTTGAATGCATGCCCAGTTGAATTATTGTATGAGTGACTGAACACTCTTTTGGGTCTGAAATAATGTACTAAGGGACTAGACCTGTCAGCATTTTCCTCTTTTATCTTTTTGTTATCTGTCTCAAGGAAAGCTCTAATTTTATTTCTTTCCCCATCTACTA